TAGTGAGTGATTTTCGTGTGCAAGTTCGGTACTAGTCCCTCTAGGATTTTCCAGGTGTATATAATCATGTATCTCTCCCTCCTGCGTTCCAGGGAATGCAGGTTTAGAAACCTCAAGCGCTCCCAGTAATTGAGGTGTTTTATCTCCGTTATGCGCGCCGTGAAAGTTCTCTGTACATTTTCTAGGTCGGCAATTTCACCTGCCTTGAAAGGTGCTGTTAGTGTGCAGCAATATTCCAGCCTAGATAGAACAAGTGACCTGAAGAGTGTCATCATGGGCTTGGCCTCCCTAGTTTTGAAGGTTCTCATTATCCATCCTGTCATTTTTCTAGCAGATGCGATTGATACAATGTTATGGTCCTTGAAGGTGAGATCCTCCGACATAATCACTCCCAGGTCTTTGACGTTGGTGTTTTGCTCTATTTTGTGGCCAGAATTTGTTTTGTACTCTGATGAAGATTTAATTTCCTCATGTTTACCATATCTGAGTAATTGAAATTTCTCATCGTTGACCTTCATATTGTTTTCCGCAGCCCACTGAAAGATTTGGTTGATGTCCGCCTGGAGCCTTGCAGTGTCTGCAATGGAAGACACTGTCATGCAGATTCGGGTGTCATCTGCAAAGGAAGACACGGTGCTGTGGCTGACATCCTTGTCTATGTCGGATATGAGGATGAGGAACAAGATGGGAGCTAGTACTGTGCCTTGTGGAACAGAGCTTTTCACCGTAGCTGCCTCGGACTTTACTCTGTTGACGACTACTCTCTGTGTTCTGTTAGTGAGGAAATTATAGATCCATTGACCGACTTTTCCTGTTATTCCTTTAGCACGCATTTTGTGCGCTATTACGCCATGGTCACACTTGTCGAAGGCTTTTGCAAAGTCTGTATATATTACATCTGCATTCTTTTTGTCTTATAGTGCATTTAGGACCTTGTCGTAGTGATCCAATAGTTGAGACAGACAGGAGCGACCTGTTCTAAACCCATGTTGCCCTGGGTTGTGTAACTGATGGGTTTCTAGATGGGTGGTGATCTTGCTTCTTAGGACCCTTTCAAAGATTTTTATGATATGGGATGTTAGTGCTATTGGTCTGTAGTTCTTTGCTGTTGCTTTACTGCCCCCTTTGTGGAGTGGGGCTATGTCTGTTGTTTTTAGTAACTGAGGGACGACCCCCGTGTCCATGCTCCCTCTCCATAGGATGGAAAAGGCTCATGATAGGGGCTTCTTGCAGTTCTTGATGAACACAGAGTTCCATGAGTCTGGCCCTGGGCCCAATAAATATTTTGATAGGTAGTCACTATTATGCCTCCTTTGTAAAGGGTATGGTAAAGAAATGTGGTGTCACCCTTTTGAAGACTGCAGGAGGCCATGTAATGTATGGTAGGATTCCTCGTAATAATAATTCATGACTAGAGGAAACTACAAATACCATAACTCATGAAATCGTACCCCAGTATAATTCTTCCATAGAGGATGGTGTTGAGCCACAGCATAAATTGTGGGAATTAGACAGCATTGGAATAAATGTAAATGAAGAAAGTCCAGACTATTCTTTTACTCAGGAGCAATACCTGAGAGATGTAAAATTTGAATCTGGACAATACTGGGTACGACTTCCATGGAGACTGAACCATCCAGAATTGCCCACTAAATACAGAATGGCATATGGGCAGTTAAAGGCTCAGCTCTGCGAGCTGAGTAAGACATCAGAATTGTTAACTGCCTATAATGATACAATTGCTGAGCAGTTAATTAATAAATTTATAGAAGAGGTACCTCCTGAGCAAGCCAAAATTTATGGTCACTATTTGCCACATCACGGAGTGAAGAGGGATTCTAAGACCACTCCTTTGAGGATTGTGTTTAATTGTAGTGCCAGGAGTAACAAAAATGTACCTAGTTTAAATGACTGATGACAGGTCCGTCGTTGACAGAAAAATTAGGAGATATCTTATTAAATTTCAGAGTGAAGCACTATGCCTTTACAGCTGACATAAGTAAAGCTTTCCTAAGAGTGGGTTTACAAGAGGCTGACCGGGATTGTACCCGCTTCTTATGGCCTGAGAATCCTATTGACCCACTTAGCCCTCTGAAAACCTTTCGCTTTAGGAGCATATTATTTGGTGCTACATCCAGTCCATTCCTACTTCAAGCGACGATAAATGCACACCTTAAATGTATGGAAAGTCCATTGAGTAAAGTAATGAGCAAACAATTTTATGTGGACAATTTCCTGGGTGTGACGTCAACTGAAGAGGAACTGTTAATGACTTATGGAGAGGCTAATAAAATAATGCAAAGTGCAAATATGCCTCTGAGGGAATGGAACAGTAATTCGTCCAAATTAAAGGACAAAATAAGTAAAGATTACCCTGGAGATGAAGTGCCAAAATGTAGTAATGTATTGGGTTTAACTTGGGATACTGAGAGAGATTTGTTAATGTTAAAACCTAATAATTACAGTATGCCCAATAAATTAACTAAGAGAGTTTTGCTTGCTGAAGTTTCCAAATGTTTTAATCCACTAGGTTTAGTGTCACCCCTTACTATAAGAGGTAAATTATTAATATAGGAAGCATGGAAACTTAAATGTGCTTGGGATGAAATTCTACCTGAGGAATTCATTAACAGGAGGGATGAATTAATTGGTGATTATGAGAAAATTCCAATGTTGGAGTTCCCACACCAGGTGGCCAATCCAAATGGGAAAAATGTACTCCACATTTTCTGTGATGCTTGAAAATTGGCATATGGAGCAGTTGCTTACCTTCAATGTAATAGTGTTATTTCTTTGGTTATGTCTAAGGCTAAAGTGTCTCCAATTAAATCACGTACCTTGCCTCAGTTGGAATTAACAGCCATTTATGTAAGTGTCAAATTAGCTAATTATATAAGAAATAAGTTGCAGGAGATAAATATTAGCAACACTGTAATTTGGTCTGATAGTGAGGTATCCTTACAATGGATTCGTAATGGAAACAGTAAAATTGTGTACGTACAAAACAGAGTCGCTGAAATTAATCAGATGCAAGAGAAGTATAATAGTTTGGGTCAGTTAACAAATAATCATATACCTGGTGATGAGAATTCAGCTGATTTCTTGTCTCGAGGTTTATCTTATGCTAAATTTGTAAATGCTGTATCATGGTTTAAAGGACCGAGCTGGTTGGTAAATAAAGCTAATTGGCCTGTACAAAAGGCATATATTACTCCTGTTGAAATTACTGTGACCACCGCTCCAATTGTTTGTCCTTCCTTAGCCATTGATATAAATAAGTTTTCTTCTTTACCCAAACTAATCAATGTAACTAAGTTTTCACATCCTCTTGAATTAACATAACAGAAAGAAAATATATCTTAATATCACTCACCAATTTGACTGGAGATTAATATGTATCATACTCAGAAAACCTCACTCTAACTAAATCTATGAAAATAATGCTGGCGAGAATTACACACAAATCTAGAGAGCTTATCTGAGGTTCCTGGAGCTGTCTTGTCCAGTCGTCTGATATCTCAAATTATGCAGGAATGCACATCCACCAATTTTGCCTCCTATTTGAGAGGTGTCAACACAATTTTAACCTCTAGAGCACGAAAAATTCTTCCCATTATACCAACGTTTGTACAAACTTCAAAACCAAGATGGCGAGTCCCGTCTGCGCAGACGCAGGCTTTCCGTTTTCTATGATGTAAATATTATTAAATACAGTATGGCCATCTATTTACATATAAATACTGAATTTCTGGGAAATATATACAGTATTTTCCACACTGCGGCCGGCCGGAGTTCGTTGCTAAACGATTCAAATTACTCCTTCCTTTAGGAGACGATTCCAGCCAGTTCTGGCTTGAGTGGCTGTTCTCCTAGTAGGTCTTACTATGATTTCATCTTCCGGCATCACTTGGTCTGCGTTATCTTCCATATCACTCGTGTCACTTTCCCTCAGATTTTCATTTACGTTTGATTGAACACCTAATTCCAAGGGAATCAATTTATTAATTGTGCGTAAACTTTCCTGGCCACGACACAACACTTTGACATTCCTGACAACACCTTGTGCATCTGGGTACAATGTCAATACTTTGCCCAGAGGCCACAATATATACAGTATATATATACAGTATTTTCCACAGTTTATATATATATATATATATATATATATATATATATATATAATATATATATATATATATATATATATATATATATATATAATTTTTTGATAATAAGGTGTCCCGTGGCCTGGTTATCAATGCTCTCACCTCATACAGTGTCATTGGTTTGATCCCCAATACGGGTGGAAATGCTGGACATGTTACCCGCTGTCCCTATTCACTCATCAGTACGTTGTACCTAGGTGTTAGTCACCTTACAGGACCTGCTGTCCCTTTTCACCTAGCAGTAAGTAGGTTCCCATGTGTTAGTCGACTGGTGTGGGTGGCATCCTGGGGGACGACAATGAAGGATCCCAATGGACAGACAGCCCTCGATGACGCACTGACTTTCTTGTGTCATCCTGGGTGGCTAACTCTCTGTGTTAAACAGTGGAGCATTTCTTATATTAAGGACTCAAATGGAAATGTCAGACTTTTTTTTTGGGGGGGGGAGGGGAGGGTTATATCCTTGATAATTTACACTATGTATGACAAAAGTAGTTATGTGTACCTGTGCCTACAAATACTACTTACTTACTTACAATTATTTATATTATTTAGAGTATTCATTAATTTATTTATCTATTTTATCATCAGTGAGGAAGGAGGTCGGTTACTGATAGAACACCAAGGTCAACAATGTACTACTTTACAACCAGATGTTAATAGAAGCTACTTAAAATTACCTGTGCATTTTCCTATGAATACCTGTTGAATAATTTATATAGAATATTATTTATTATTTAATATAAACAATAAAAATATCAATGAAAGTAGTGAAAATGTAGAATTTGTTGTGTAGTGAATGAAAAAGTTTGTTTGTTGTTATTGTGGCAGCAGCAGCAGCAGCAGCAGCAGCAGCAGCAGTGGTGGTGGTGCTGTAGTCTTATTTATGTGTAAAACACAACACTGCGAGTATAACACACCTTTATTAATGTATATTACACCTTCACTAATGTATGCTCAACTGTATAAGTCCAGTTTTGTTGGTAAATAAATGTTTTTTTAGTGGCGGAGTCTTTCTTGAGGGGGCTGGTGATTTAAGGTTCCTTGAGGGGCTGGTGGTCTAAGATTCCTTGAGGGGGCTGGTGGTCTAAGATTCCTTGAGGGGCTAGTCATCTAAGGTTCCTTGAGGGGCTGGTGGTCTAAGATTCCTTGAGGGGGCTGGTGGTCTAAGATTCCTTGAGGGGCTAGTCATCTAAGGTTCCTTGAGGGGGCTGGTGGTCCAAGGTTCCTTGAGGGGGCTGGTGATCTAAGGTTCCTTGAGGGGCTGGTCATCTAAGGTTCCTTGAGGGGGCTGGTGATCCAAGGTTCCTTGAGGGGCTTGTGATCTAAGGTTCCTTGAGGGGGGCTGGTGATCTTAGGTTCCTTGAGGGGCTGGTGATCCAAGGTTCCTTGAGGGGGCTGGTGGTCGAAGGTTCCTTGAGGGGGCTGGTGATCTAAGGTTCCTTGAGGGGGCTGGTCTAAGGTTCCTTGAGGGGGCTGGTGGTCTAAGGTTCCTTGAGGGGGGCTGGTGATCTAAGGTTCCTTGAGGGGGCTGGTGGTCTAAGGTTCCTTGAGGGGCTGGTGATCTAAGGTTCCTTGAGGGGGCTGGTGATCCAAGATTCCTTGAGGGGCTGGTGATCCAAGGTTCCTTGAGGGGGCTGGTTATCCAAGGTTCCTTGAGGTGGCTGGTGATCTAAGGTTCCTTGAGGGGGCTGGTGATCTAGGGTTCCTTGAGGGGGCTGGTGATCTAAGGTTCCTTGAGGGGCTGGTGATCCAAGGTTCCTTGAGGGGGCTGGTGATCTAAGGTTCCTTGAGGGGGCTGGTGATCTAAGGTTCCTTGAGAGGGCTGGTGATCTAAGGTTCCTTGAGGGGCTGGTGATCCAAGGTTCCTTGAGGGGGTTGGTGGTCTGAGGTTCCTTGAGGGGGCTGGTGACCTAAGGTTCCTTGAGGGGGCTGGTGATCTAAGGTTCCTTTAGGGGGCTGGTGATCTAAGGTTCCTTGAGGGGGCTAGTGATCTAAGGTTCCTTGAGGGGGCTGGTGATCCAAGATTCCTTGAGTGGCTGGTGATCCAAGGTTCCTTGAGGGGGCTGGTTATCCAAGGTTCCTTGAGGGGGCTGGTGATCTAAGGTTCCTTGAGGGGGCTGGTGATCTAAGGTTCCTTGAGGGGGCTGGTGATCTAAGGTTCCTTGAGGGGCTGGTGATCCAACGTTCCTTGAGGGGGCTGGTGATCTAAGGTTCCTTGAGGGGGCTGGTGATCTAAGGTTCCTTGAGGGGCTGGTGATCCAACGTTCCTTGAGGGGCTGGTGGTCTAAGGTTCCTTGAGGGGGCTGGTGATCTAAGGTTCCTTGAGGGGCTGGTGATCTAAGGTTCCTTGAGGGGGCTGGTGATCTAAGGTTCCTTGAGGGGCTGGTGATCTAAGGTTCTTTGAGGGGGCTGGTGGTTTAAGGTTCCTTGAGGGGGGCTGGTGATCTAAGGTTCCTTGAGGGGGCTGGTGATCTAAGGTTCCTTGAGGGGGCTGGTGATCTAAGGTTCCTTGAGGGGGCTGGTGATCTAAGGTTCCTTGAGGGGGCTGGTGATCCAAGATTCCTTGAGGGGCTGGTGATCCAAGGTTCCTTGAGGGGGCTGGTGATCCTTGGTTCCTTGAAGGGGCTGGTGATCTAAGGTTGCTTTAGGGGGCTGGTGATCCAAGGTTCCTTGAGGGGCTGGTGATCTAAGGTTCCTTGAGGGGGCTCGTGATCCAAGGTTCCCTGAGGAGCTGGTGATCCAGGGTTCCTTGAGGTGCTGGTGATCCAAGGTTCCTTCAGGTCCCACTTTGGCAACGCTCTTGGAACAACTGCAAGCTACCAATAGGCAATACACCATGCTGCTATTCAAATCCCTATATATGAATGCTCTTAACACTGTTTAATCCATATGTTCAAAACCTTTGATCACATCCTAGACACTGTTGAACTACTATCCAAGACACCAACACAGTTATTAACTCGACAGTTCTTGACCAAATCTTTAACAAACAAATGTTAGCTCCTCACTCATGCATAACATAAGTATAAATACATTATATCAATGTACATTATTTAAAAAAAAGGAAGAAAAAATAACAGTTTCAACGTAGCTTTGACAAGATTATAATTATTAAAATTCTTTACCAATTTATTACACAAATTGATAAAATGAACGTAAAATATCTTCACACTTAAAAACTAACTGAAAGTATAATACAGTTCAACTTTAATAAAATCATAATTATTAAAATGACAGTTCTTGACTAACTCGGTTTCTCTTCTTTTGCAGCTCCTTGTTTCATCGTCTGAAGAATCATAATTAGTGTCAGCAACCAGTTTAAGACACTTATGTAAGTGGTTGATGTGATACTGCAGAAACAGTGTGAACAATATAGAAATGTTGAGCATTTTGTCATAAATACATCATGAATGTCAACATTTGTTTCATAAAACTCACTTCATTAATTCTGACAGTTAAATTATATTCTCAGTAACTAGTGAACTTAAGTTTACTTACTGAAATACTGTACTTATATTGATATAGCACTGTACATTCATTATCAATTTCCACAACCTCAACCATCAGTGAACTTAAGTTAACTTACTAATATAGTCTAACTTATATTAATCTAATACTGAATAATAATTATCAACATCTGTTGTGCTGAAGTTTATTTCTATTTAAAAGTTATTTAGCTTATTATATTATTAGCTGCTTTATAAGACCAAATATTTATATCATAATGAAGTCTTTATATACATTCTCTTTTAATATTTAACCATACTGATTTAAAAATCACTTATTTTTTAATTATTCGTAAGTACTAACAGTACAGTTGGATGTTATACATTGCCAGTTTTCCTGAATTTTATACTAAGGACTGTATAGGATTTTTTTATCTTGACTGAGGGCAAGGTATTGTAATGAATTGTGTATTACTTTATTTACTTCAAATATTGACACTTGTCAGGATATTGTAATGTATCATAATTATTACTTTCTTTACATCCAGTTTTGACTGTGACAAAATACTGTGGTACATCATCTATGTCACTTTCTTCAAATGTTGACAATGAACAGATTATTGTAATATATTTTCTGTATCACTTTTTCTTTCTTAAATATTTTATCTTCACACAGTGTTTCCATATTATTCATAATCTGGTAGATGTCTCTCTCACCATATTGATTACATGGAAAATATTTTTTTATCATATCTGAATATATTTTTCAGTATTATCTTTTTCTTTTATTGCCTTAACTTGTGCTTGCCTGTTTCTATAATATTTTTTTTCACACATGTTGAGTCTGTGTCTTGTTGTTCATGTATTCCCTCATGTTTTTAATGTGTGCTGTTATTAATCATAGTAAAAACACTATTATTTGAGAAAGAAAATAGTCATAACTTAATTGTTTACATTGTTTACATGAAAGTTAAAAAATCATAAATTCAGTTAATAAATTTCTTATATATTTGTACTCTCATTGTAAAAAAGCACCTTTTATTCTCACTGTAAAATGGTAAGTAATTCAGTATCTAAATAACTTTTCTGACAACAAACATGATGCAACATACAATAGTTTCCTCAGGAGAAAAAGCCTACCAGTGTTCAGAATGTCTAAAGGATTTTTCATATAAATCAAGTCTAACAAAACACATGAGAGTTCATACACAGGAAAAACCATATCATTGTTCTGAATGTCTTAGAAACTTTTCAGTTAAATCAGTTCTAATACAACACATGAGTGTTCATACACAAGAAAAACCATATCATTGTTCAGTTTGTCTTAAAGACTTTTCACGAAAATCACATCTAATACAACACACGAGAGTTCATACACAAGAAAAGCCATATAGATGTTCAGAATGTTTAAAAGACTTTACCAATAAACCAAATCTAGTAAATCACATAAGAGTTCATACACGAGAGAAACCATATCAGTGTTCAGAATGTTTAAAAGACTTTTCACAGAAATCAAATCTAATAAAACACATGAGAGTTCATACACAAGAAAAACCGTATCGTTGTTCAGAGTGTCTAAAAAACTTTTCGTTAAAATCAACCCTAATGCGACACATGAGAGTTCATACAAGAGAAAAACCATATCAGTGTACAGAATGTCTAAAAGACTTTTCACAGAAATCAAGTCTAATACATCACATGAGAGGTCATACACAGGAAAAACCATATCAATGTTCAGAGTGTCTAAAAGGATTTTCAGTTAAATCAACTCTAAATCTACACATGAGAGTTCATACAAAACAAAAACCATATCACTGTTCAGTGTGTCTGAAAGCTTTTTCACAAAAATCAGGTCTAATACCCCACATGAGAGTTCATACACAAGAAAAACCATATCATTGTTCAGAGTGTGTAAAAGCCTTTTCTCAAAAATCGGGTCTAATGAAACATATGAGAGTTCACACACAAGAAAAATCATTTCAGTGCTCGGAGTGTGTAAAAGACTTTTCAGACAAGTCATGTCTAATACAGCACATGAATGTTCATTCCCAAGAAAAACCATTTCAGTGTTCAGAGTGTTTAAAAGACTTTCCTCGGAAATCAGCCTTAATACGACATATGAGAGTTCATCAAAAGATCAATCATATCAGAGTTCAGAATGCCTAAAAGACTTTTCTTGGAAATTAAATCTGATCCAACGTTACTCTCATACAAGAAAATGCATATCATTGTTCAAAAAGGCTTTGGAGCTTCCCTTCCCTTCCTTGGATCAAATTTTATTATCCTCCCCCTCACATTCACTAGGTACTGTTTAACCCTTATGGGTTTAGCTTTTCCCTATAAATATACCAATCAGTAGAGACAGAGGCGTCACTAGAGTTGGTGTTACCCTGGGCGGAATCTCTGATGTCACCCGGGGCAGCATCTTTGGTGTCACCCTCATGAAATTCAAGGGTGGGGGGATGGGGGGGATAAACTCCAGTTATGTCACTACTGCATGACCAGTGACAAATGTTTAGCAATGAGAATGTTTAAGGGCCATAAACTGAACGGGAGAATACTTCTCAACTTTATTAATGATAAAATAAATAATCGTAGTAATATTAAGGAAACATAAACTCAAATACCACTTTGAGTACAGGTAACAGATCCTACATTTATTCATCTTCAACAATGCAAAAACAAAAACAAAAACTTGAAAAATAAAGAAAAACACTGCAATATCAGAGAAACACTAGTTCCGATTTAACCTTGAGTACAGGTAACATCTCAGTGAATCTGATCTTACATTTCCTTGCCTTCAATTATGCAAAATCATCTATCACATCATCAAAATCAATGATTTTTCCCTATATAGGCTTATTTGTACTTTGTTAATATATAAGAGGCTATATAGAAACAAAGGATTCTTCTCTCATGTTGCTGCAGCACTGTTTTGTGCATTTGTGTCACCTTCTTTAGAGGCTCTATGGTGTCACCCCCTAAATGGTGTCACCTGGGGCAGCACCCCCCTTCCTTACAACGCCCGTGTAGAGAGGAACCATAAAGTTTTTGAGAGGATGTTTCACATACAATATTTAGAAGTGCTTATAGTAATTACCCCCTTCAAGATCTACTAATGAATGGCTCCTGATCCCAAGAACTGGAGCTGCCTAGCACTTTCTTTGATCAAATGTGAAAGCTTTCAGTTTCCTAAGCACTATTTGATGCTTACAGGTTTCTCCATTAATAAAATAATAATTATAGGATTATTACTCCTGTGGTAGGGTCTCTAACTGGCATCATGACTGAATGCTTGACCAGACAGGCTGTTATTACTTTTAATGGAAGCAGTTAATATATGTGGTTCTTTGCAGCATAAACAGTCAGTGATATTTTCCTCTTAAAGACAGTTCTATTGGCAATTTGTCTTAAATGTTAAGGTGACCGCGCTTAGAAATTTGACTTTTTTCCAGTCATACCCCTTCAAGGAAATGGGGGAGCTCCTTTGGCATACCAGAAAGGCTCTTGATCTGAGGATTGATCCTACATATTGAATCTAAATACCTCAACCCCTCCCCTCCTCTCTTAATTCATCCTCTTAAAAGGCAATATTTCCTCTTAGTTGCTGTATCTATAGTTGGACAGATGTCAGAAGACATTTTTTTTTATTTAACATGTAAAGTGATATGAGCTATACTGATTTATAAGTTACCTGCAAGTTGATACCTGTCTGCAGTTTGCAGCATGGTGGGTATATAACATTCTAAACCTAGTTTTGGTTGGCTCATTTACTCTCCAGCAACCATCAGAAATTTAATTTTACTAAATCTGATTACCTGGAGTATTACCTGGAGAGAGTTCTGGGGGTCAACACCCCCGCGGCCCTGTCTGTGACCAGGCCTCCTGGTGGATCAGAGCCTGATCAACCAGGCTGTTACTGTTGGCTGCACGCAAACCAACGTACGAGCCACAGCCCGGCTGGTGTTAATTAATAATAGTGTTAATTAATAATAAGAGTGGTAAATTTCATCAGGTACCTAGTGGGATATAATGTGATCTCATTGTTGGGAAATTTAATATTAGTCTGACAGCAGTAGCTTTCATAGAAATAGCATTATCATCAGAAGCAATAATTTTTGTTTGAAGCTTAGTGACTTCATTAATTATTAAGAATATTAATCCAACTTAACAAATATTATTTACAATGTGTGGGATTAGTAACATGATAACATATATAAATGCAGGTTTAAGCTACATATGATGTAACACTTAATTCTTCTAAGTTCAAAGCCTTCATTAATTATTAAAGATTATTAAAATATGTTAGTCTTAGCTAATTAAGCTATGTAGACTATAGCACTTAATTTTGTAAAGCCCAAAGATTTCCTTAATTATTAAGTAAGTTTATTCAGGTTAACGCAAATACAGTTACATAGATTATCATACATAGCAGCGTATGTGTAAAGAACCTAGGATAACTCAAAAAAGTCAGACAGAGTGACTTATTTCCATTGTGTTAAATTGTGTTAGCCTATCATATCTTCTTTCAACAAACTGGCTGTATCCCACCGAGGTGGGGTGGCCCTAAAAGAAAAACGAAAGCTTCCCTTTTTAAATTTAATAACATATACAGGAGAAGAGGTTACTAGCCCCTTGCTCCCAGCATTGTAGTCGCCTCTTATGGCTTACTGAGGAAAAATTCTGTTCCACTTCCCATGGAGATAAGTGGAAATAAACAAGAACAAGAACTAGTAGGAAAATAGAAGAAAAGCCAAAAGGGTGTGTATATAAATGCTTGTACATGCATGTGTAGTGTAACCTAAGTGTAAGTAGAAGTAGCAAGATGTACCTGAAACCTTGCATGTTCATGAAACAGAAAAAAGACACCAGCAATCCTATCATCATGTAAAACAATTGCAGGTTTCCGTTCACATTCTTTGGCACGGTGGTAGTACCTCCCTGAGTGGTTGATGTCTACCATCATAATACAGTAACCTAATACTAATATGCATACAATTAATGCTGTCTGCAGATTATCACCACAGTGAGCAGTGCACATATATGGGTTTATGGTCTTAATTCTGTGAAGCTCATAGACTTCATTAATTATAGTACAATAGTATTTAGAATATTTTATTAATCCATTATTTTAGCATAATCACCCCTCAAGGAAGGCTCCTTGATGTTGGTGAGGGGCTCTTGATTTAGGGAATTGGATCTGTGCTCCAGTTCCCCGAATTAAGCCTGAATGCCTTCCACATCCCCTCCCCCCAGGCGCTGTATAATCCTCCGGGTTTAGCGCTTCCCCCTTGATTATAATAATAATTTAGCATAATTAATATCTTATCCAGAATTACCTTTATGTACTATGAATGAAAATCAACATTTTTTTTCCAACCGGGAGGTTTTTGCCCAAGCCTAAATCAAATATACTTCAAACACTTTACCAATGGGACAGTTCATGTTTTTAATCACTTTTGGAGAGCTCACTGTTTTGATAAAATTATGGTCACTAATACAGTGATGGCTGTCAGTAATTAAAAATTATAATGTATTGTTTCTTTAATTTTTTCTCTTCATCATTAATAGTCAGCAGTACCAAAGCTAGATTTGTTAATACTTCTTCAACAACGTTCTTCTGAAGTTGAACTTTTGAGCCATAGTGATTTAAATCATCATGGAAAGTGAAGCAACAAACTCAGACTCTGATTGATTCTAAATAGGAGTTATGTGCTCATCCCAGTATTTATTTATAAACTTAAAGGTATCGTCCATCATGTGATAAATAAGACACTTGTGCAACATTTTGGTATCTTTATTCTGGAAACATTTCACCAGCCAGTGGCTTCTTCAGTCCAGCACAGAATGGTGGATGATAAGGAGGAGTTTGAGGTATTCAGTCCCTCAGCCTGAAGTCTGTGTGTTCGGTCCATCAATCATGATAAAAGTACAGCATATTTGCAGAGATGGGGCTTGTATACTGCAAACAGATGAGGTGAAGCAGTGGTAGGCAGTGACCAGTGCAAAAAAAAAAAACAGTAACATAAGTAGGTCATACCCATAAGTTAGGAAAACTTCGAAGAATTCCCTGCATCAAGATCCCAAGATGTTATGGTGTCTGACAATTTGTATAAATGGTTTAGAAAAACCAACAAGTTGATGAATAGACACTTGTGCAACATTTAAATGAATATTAATCAACTTGTCAGTTTTCTAAACCATTTATACAAATTTTGTCAGACAGCAACATCTTGGGCTCTTGATGCTAGGAATTCTTCAACACTTTCTTAACTGATAGGTGTGACCTACTTCCACTAGTTGGTTTTTCCACTGGTAACTCTACCACTGCTACCTTCTCCACTCATCTTCTCTACTCTTATCAAAATTTGATGGACTGAGCACATCAAGTGCCTCTTTAAAGCCTGAACAGATATTTATAAATAAGCACACTAAACATTATAAAGTTTAAAGGTGTCTGTATTTATAAAGAAAAGTATGGTAAGTTAATGTAATACCTACTTTAGTAATTGCAAAACTCTTTAACTTGTAATTACTAACCCTTACCTAATTTGAAATCCCAACAAATAAATGGGAACTTAACCTTTATGGCAGTTCATATATATTCCATATTTAACCATTGTATGATCCTAGTTATGATTGTAATAGTGATCCACATTTGACCAATAATCGGGCAGAATAACCATGTCTAATAGCAGAAGGAACCATAACTGTATCCTGATATCAGAGAAGCAAGATGTGAAGCAGTCTCGTGGTTTCTAAGTGCAGACTCATTCATCCCAGAGGTTACACATCACCTGCTGATGCAATACGTATTAGATGACATTAGCAAGAGGGGCTGTGCAATGTTATTCTCAATTCTCTATTGAAAATGCATATACAGTACAAGAAATTTTGACAGAAACTTAAAATATGTCTTTGTAACTGACTTCAAAAATAATTTATATATAAATGAGCTGTATGACCCTACTGAGAGGAACGTTACATGACGCTACAGCCTATCCTAGACCATTGTTAAATCTCAACTAAGAATAAGAGGCAGGGAAAGTCAGAAGACAGAACTAGGGAAGGGAGGAGTTGCATGATCATGCATTCTACCGGCTTTCTTTGTGCATGACAGTATTTGATTATATGTAAACTGCACGTTGTACTGTACAAAAATAATTTGATCTGATTTGAGTAGTAATAGTGAAAGAATTGGCAATAGCAATAGAAGTGGTAGTGTAAGGGAGAAAGTTACCACAAGTGCACTGAAGGACTGCTGTCCCACGTGCTTTGACTGATAAACCTCAGGGACAGAATGCACCAAGGCAGAAGGCAGGAAAGGCAAAGAAAAAGATAATGTGGAAGAAAACTGAGATGGAAGGAAGGGAAACAGCAAAGGTTAGGCATTTACATAAACAAAGCCAAAACTAAGATTCATGTTATGAAAATTGTATAATTATTATTATTATTATTATAACCAAAAAGAGAAAATTTTGTATAAGAGCTGCTGCAACAGGTAGGATAATTTTAACAGGACCAGTTAATATGATGGCTGTAAGTTTTGACATGACAAAAAAAAAGACTAACTTTTTTTTTCATTTGTGGTTTTTAAAAAGTCTGGAAGAGTGGCCAATTTCACCCAAGTACTGGAGAGGACAGGAAATGGAGTAGGCTCCGAAAGCATCAAAAACAGGAGAAGCAGGAACAAAATTAATGCAAAGGATATTAGTCTTATATGAATATTTTGAATGGTCAAAAACTAGGATTTAACTTTCATGAAGCTGCTGCTTTTGTGCTTACTCGGTCCTGTTTTAAATTAAGTAAAGTTCGTCGGAAACAGGACAAGTGTTTCCTGACGGGTTTTTGTAGATGATGACCCGGCGTGAGAGCTTTTTGTCATCTGACAGAGGCTTTCTGCTGGCTTGCTGGTCCACCCCACTAACCATTTAGTTTTTCTTTTAAAGGTATCATCTGCTGCCTATACAGGGGGTTAATATTTTTTTTATTTAGTGGAATGTATTTCACTGGCTACATGGGCATGGATATTGCTGCTGTATTTTCCATCCATGATGTGCAATTGCTGGTCAGCAGTGATGTCTTCAAGTTGGGAATAAATTGTGGGGAACAATTTGTCGTTACAAAAAAATCTGGATCGACCAAAGCTCTCAATACAAGACCTTTCTAGAACCAATGGCGGCTGTGACACTGTCCATGCTACGAGATGAAAATGCTAGTCATGACGACAAACTCAGCATAAGTTGCCTCTATGATGAAGATATGGTGCGGCCACACCCCTCTCATGAAGAGTCCAGGTTGGAAGTCCCTCCCTCTAAACAAATTGAAGTATTCTTCCTGAAGCAATACCTATGCAGTGGATTACAGCTCGGGGCTAAAGTAAGAGTGCTGGTGATGATTTTTAGTTTCACAAGGAGTGCCACAGTAGATTCAATCCGGCCAGAGTTCGAACTTTTAAGATAAGATTTTTTTTTCGGAGATTTAACGTGGTCCTAAATGCACTAGAAGACAAAAAGAATGCAGATGTAGTATATACAGACTTTGCAAAAGCCTTCGACAAGTGTGACCATGGCGTAATAGCGCACAAAATGCGTGCTAAAGGAATAACAGGAAAAGTCGGTCAATGGATCTATAATTTCCTCACTAACAGAACACAGAGAGTAGTCGTCAACAGAGTAAAGTCCGAGGCAGCTACGGTGAAAAGCTCTGTTCCACAAGGCACAGTACTCGCTCCCATCTTGTTCCTCATCCTCATATCCGACATAGACAAGGATGTCAGCCACAGCACCGTGCCTTCCTTTGCAGATGACACCCGAATATGCATGATAGGGTCTTCCATTGCAGACACTGCAAGGCTCCAGGCGGACATCAACCGAATCTTTCAGTGGGCTGCAGAAAACAATATGAAGTTCAACGATGAGAAATTTCAATTACTCAGATATGGTAAACATGAGGAAATTAAATCTTCATCAGAGTAGAAAACAAATTCTGGCCACAAAATAGAGCGAAACACCAACGTCAAAGACCTGGGAGTGATCATGTCGGAGGATCTCACCTTCAAGGACCATAACATTGTATCAATCGCATCTGCTAGAAAAATGACAGGATGGATAATGAGAACCTTCAAAACTAGGGAGGCCAAGCCCATGATGACACTCTTCAGGTCACTTGTTCTATCTAGGCTGGAATATTGCTGCACACTAACAGCACCTTTCAAGGCAGGTGAAATTGCCGACCTAGAAAATGTACAGAGAACTTTCACGGCGCGCATAACGGAGATAAAACACCTCAATTACTGGGAGCGCTTGAGGTTCCTAAACCTGTATTCCCTGGAACGCAGGAGGGAGAGATACATGATTATATACACCTGGAAAATCCTAGAGGGACTAGTACCGAACTTGCACACGAAAATCACTCAATAACCAAAAGACTTGGCAGACGATGCAACATCCCCCCAATGAAAAGCAGGGGTGTCACTAGCACGTTAAGAGACCATACAATAAGTGTCAGGGGCCCGAGACTGTTCAACTGCCTCCCAGCATACATAAGGGGGATTACCAACAGACCCCTGGCAGTCTTCAAGCTGGCACTGGACAAGCACCTAAAGTCAGTTCCTGATCAGCCGGGCTGTGGCTCGTACGTTGGTTTGCGTGCAGCCAGCAGTAACAGCCTGGTTGATCAGGCTCTGATCCACCAGGAGGCCTGGTCACAGACCGGGCCGCGGGGGCGTTGACCCCCGGAACTCTCTCCAGGTAAACTCCAGGTGGGTTAGCCACCCAGGATAACCCAAGAAAGTAAGTGTCATGGAAGACTTTCTGTCTGATTTCTGTTGAGGTCCTTCAGTCTTGTCCCCCGGAATGAGACCCACACCAGTCCACTAACACCCAGGTACCTACTCACTGTTAGGTGAACAGGGACAGCAGGTGTAAGGTAACATGCCCAATGTTTCCATCTGTTTACCTGGAGAGAGTTCCGGGGGTCAACGCCCCCGCGGCCCGGTCTGTGACCAGGCCTCCTGGTGGATCAGAGCCTGATCAACCAGGCTGTTACTGCTGGCTGCACGCAAACCAACGTACGAGCCACAGCCCGGCTGATCAGGAACCGACTTTAGGTGCTTGTCCAGTGCCAGCTTGAAGACTGCCAGGGGTCTGTTGGTAATCCCCCTTATGTATGCTGGGAGGCAGTTGAACAGTCTCGGGCCCCTGACACTTATTGTATGGTCTCTTAACGTGCTAGTGACACCCCTGCTTTTCATTGGGGGGATGTTGCATCGTCTGCCAAGTCTTTTGGTTATTGAGTGATTTTCGTGTGCAAGTTCGGTACTAGTCCCTCTAGGATTTTCCAGGTGTATATAATCATGTATCTCTCCCTCCTGCGTTCCAGGGAATACAGGTTCAGGAACCTCAAGCCGAGGATTAAACCACGAACACTCAGTGTATGAGGCAAGCGCGTTGCCAACCCAGTTGGAGATTCATAAAGTGCCTTACCAACCTGAAAACCAAAATGCTCTAGAGCATTGCCACCAGACTTTCAAGT